CTTCGTTTTTTATGTTACTATAGCTAAACAAAAGAACTAAATTAATGTTACTTTATTTCAGTGAATACATTTTTATTTATTTATAATAATATTACAATATTATTTAAAAGAAGAAAAAAACTGTTGTTTTCTTGTTAAAGATACAGAAGCTCTTTGAGAGTAATTATTACAAAAGTATTTTAGTATCATATCTTATATTTTTAGGACTGGTTTAGTAAAAACAATTACGAATAATAATAATAAAATAAAAAATGGTCTCATATTTTATAATACAATAAATTTTAAAATTATAAGTATTTTAGTCTATAATATAAGTATTATCTATTTTTTTATCAACTATATCATTTAGAGATTGGTGGATTGAAACTGAGCCCCCTCCTTAAACAAAACTCTGGTGGTGATTTTTATGAGCAATTTACACTTTAACAGTCGTAAAATCATTTACGTTGATAATCACCCTAAGTTAAAAAGTGCAAAAATATATAACAATATATATCAAAGCTACCCTACTATGAATCCATAAGTTACAATTAGAATGAATTTTACAAATGTTGTATTCTACAGGCAAGTTAAATAAGTCGTATTAATTAAGAGGCTCGTCAGAAGACCACTTCGGGGTGTATCTAAATTTAACTCGAATGAATCAAGGAAAGAGAGCGGACAACAAAATAATATGAAAAAGACTTTTTCTTTGCTTCACTACAAGCCAAAATGAACACTGATTCAGTAGACGTGTACTTGGACAAAAAAAAACAAAAAAAACAGTCACACTTTGACCTATTGATTGATATCCGAGATAATAAACCCTGTTCAGCTTGCCATATACAAAATCTAGACACATCTAATTCTCCTGGAGTGTCACCACCTATGCCATCGTCGACTTTCGTTAAGAAAAAGAGAAGACAATTTGTGTGGTACTTCTACATCTTCAGATGATTGATGAGACTAGAATACTTGAACAAATCTAAGGAATTGTCTTAGATTTGTATGATGAATTATAAACCACTGAGCCTTGGTTTACAGACTGTGATGAAGCTAGTAGTTCCCAGAGCTGTAAAGCAAGGAATTCTCCTGAATTTGCATAATACAAATAATGGAAAACACTAAGTTGTTACTTACAATTGTACTAATGTTCAATTGTAGTTCTTCTGAAGCATTTGACTCAATATGTTGAGTGTTTGAGGAACAATAGAGAATTGCTTGGTGTCCTCTACAGAGATTTGCCCAGGATATTGCTGGTACATTTAGAGAGACTGAGGGAGGTCCTTGGTTCATACTCATCACCATTGACTATTTCACAAAGTGTGCCATGGTTTATCCATTGATCGATATGTTAGCACTGTCCATATCTGTTGTGTTGATGGAGCATTGGATAGCACAGCTTGGATCATCGACGGAGATCCATACGAATCAGAGAACTAATTTTAATAGCCAACTGTTTTCTGAGTTGTATAAAGTGTTAGGTATAGTGTAGACGTGCACTTTGTCCTGTCACTTCCATTCTGACAGTTTAGTAGAATTGGTAATATAAACAACTAAGCATATGCTTGACAGGTTTGTTAATCCTAGCAGAACTGTGGGGTATAAACACTTACCATACATTATGGTGGCATACAGGTCAACAGAACAGGCGTCTTCAGACTGTTCGTGGGTCATGCTTATGTTCAACAGGAAATACTGTTTCCTGTCAATGTGATGTATAGTCCCCCTCCTTAAGCAGATGCCCCACAATGTTCATAGGACTATAGCGGGTGGGTAAGGTCTGAATTACTTGATGCACACCAATCTATACCTCAACAACTTGGAAACTGTAAAAATGCATTTCGGAGGTTCTAGGGGTTATTCAAATGCAATATGCAAGCTGTACGACTTTTCAAAGTCTCATTCAGATTAATGCCTCCATTTCACAGACTTATTTTGAGCACAAATAATTGTTAACACATCTAATTTTTGTGTATAACAGACTTGTACATTTCACTAAAAGCTGGCCACGTTTAGTTTAGATTCACTTAGTAAGTTCAGTATTATAGTCAACATTACTTCTCCAATACAGACCCCGCATAAAACGCAAGGTATGTCTACTTACCACACTACACCTGCTCTATTAGTTTAATCTAGATGGATAAGCTGCAGCCATAACTTGTCGTGACACACCTACATCTGTTGCAGTATCAGCCTGAATGGTAATTGCGCCCAATAGTCCTGTCTTGCATCCAGATATGGATGTTCCCATAACTAGTGACAAAGTAAACTACAGTTGAAGCAGGGGATCCTTCCTTCACGCTCTTGGCACTTTCGGGAGTCCAATTCCTGTTGAATTGGGTGCAGCCACGACAGCTGGACTTTGTTAGCCCTGCTGTCACATCTGAAACCATGGTGGATATATCACGTTAACTTGTGGCATTGCTGCAGTGAAGCTAGTGGTTTAAAATATTTCCTAATAATTCTATTTTTAAAAAAAATATCATCAGCATACTTTTTACAATACGCAAACCAAAGACGCTACTATATTATTTGAGTGAAACTAAGACACAATTTTAAGATTAAATCAACCATTTTATTTCCATTTCTCTAGCCTTATATTTAAAGAATAAATATATTTCCTATAGTTTTACACTTTTCAACACATTTAATAAACAATGAAACATATAATTTACTAGCTATATTACAGCTTTTGAGTATGTAAACTAACGAACTAACAATTGCATCACAAACAGTTTATTCGTTGCTTTTAATGAAAATTTGAAATCTAATTTACTTTTATTATAATTTCAAATTCTTCCCACAAAATATTCCTATATGGTGTTCTTGAAACAAATGATAAATTGTCTCTAAACCACTTTTTAATCTTTTTTTTTTTTAAATAAGTAGTCAAAATTTTATACTGGAACATCAATAATATGGATAATATTGTGCAATCAAATAATATATGATAAATATTAGACAACAAATTATCCTAAAAATTTGTTGTGAATTTCACGCAAAGCTATACGAGGGCTTTCTGCCCTAGCCGTCCCTAATTTAGCAGTAAAAGAGTAGAGAGAATGTAACTAATCATCACTACCAACAGCCAACTCTTGAGCTATTCTTTTATCAACGAATAGTGAGATGAAAAGGCGAGCATGTTTAATTGGACGGGGATTCAAACCCGCGAACCACAGATTGGGAATCAAGCGTCCTAACCATCTGGCCATACTTAGCCTAAAAGAAACTTATCTCAAAATACTTCTGCAAGTTCTCAAACTATAGCATTGTTTCTTAAAATAATGTTATAAAATATATGACATTATTTACTTGTGTATGGCAAAGCCACTAATACTATCTGCCACCACCTCTGATTTTAAACTGCAAACTACAGGGAAGGAAACCGGACGACAGCAACCGCCGCCAATTCTTTAGCTACTCTACACCCACTAATGATTTTATAGTTGAAAGGACGAGCATATTCAGTGCAGGGTTTTCGATCAGCGATATTCTGCGCCTTATAACCACTAGGTTATATATTACATCTGTTACGTCTCCGTTTGTTAATTAACTTCCCGTAACTTCGTTCCGACGAAACTTTAGCGACACAAGTATTTGCTCAATAAAACTGGTTTATTCTTTCCGAATATAACTTTACCGATACACTCAACTTCAACAATCGCGCTAAACAAACGCTCTAACGTCTCTCGTGCTCTCTGACTGCAGTTCAATTACTCACTATCTATCT